GGCGGCCATCACTACCGCAAGGTTTGGCTCCGAGTTGCTTTTGAGCAACTCAAGAAACTTCCCCTTGGGCAAGACGAACGGATGGCCGGCGTGGAAATAGTGATAAAAGGCTTCGAAACAACGCTCTGGCAAAGTTGCTGCCGGAGGCTGAATGGGCGGAGCGGCCTGTGTCGCCAATGCCATGGCGGTGCTGTCCATCATATAGTTGTTCCTGTAGACTGGGATGCTCGCAACGGAGGGGGTTGGCGGGAAGGAGAGCTGCGACTGGTCCGGCAGAACGATGGAAGGATTGAAGGCATGAATGGAGGGTGTAGCCATGGTAACAGGCGCATGTCCCAACATCATGGGGCAGCTGTCAGGAGTAGTCCCCGCGTAAGGGGGCGATGAGGACGCATGCCGCTTGTTAGGATTGGCGCCCGGAGTAGGGTTATTGGGGTTTCTGCGAGGGCCCTTGTACCCACGGCGCGAAGCAACATAGGCACACTCGGCGACAATGCCAGTCGTGGTACAACGGGAACACGGGTGTCTTCCATCGCATCTGAGATGCTTGGTACGCTACAAACGGTCGAGTTTTTGTTAGCACACATGCCACCACTTTTTCGGTAAACAAGGTTGTGACCTGGAAGGGCAAACTCACACAAGGGAGACAGGCCGCTGGGACGGAAGGAGAAGATGCTGATGGCTGCGATGTCGTCGTAGCCACCGACCCGTTCCGGACGGTGCCCGAGGAGGTCGCCGTCCCCGGGCTGTCGCTGGACACCGCGGGCGAGCTGCTACTGGAGGCGCCGTTGCAGTGTGGAGCTTTTGGCGCGAAGGGCTCCATCGTCGGCAATCAGTCTGGCTAAATTCAGAGTAAAATCGGCGACGTTGGGTCGTGCTTGCTGGTACGTCTCGTACTAGTCAAAGGGCGAGTCGACGCGGCGGGCGTGGGGGCCGATGGTGGCGAGCTGAGAGATCGAACGATGGACGTTGTTTTAGTTTGGGTCGGGTGGTGATATTTGCAGCAGAATCGAGGGTTAGACCCAAGCTCAGGTCAACGATGTACCGGCTGCTAGCGTGGCTGTATAGACGCTGGTTCGGGGGTGTCTTGGCCTGATGGGACCTTCCGGCGCCCGCTAGGACTGCAATATAACTTGGTGACAGCCCCAGGGCCCGCGAAATTGGATGATGGATATGGCGTAACGCGATCTCCTCGAGCAGGTCCCGAGGACAGGAACCGGGCAAATATGTGTTGGAGTTAAACCAGGTCTTTTTCCTAATGGACGCGCCTGGAGGAAGTCGGTTTGTTAGCATCTGGCTGGGTCTACGAGAATCCCTCGCCGGCTGCGACAACGTGAGTGCGTATGGAACTTAATGGGTATATCCCGAGGCCAGTGGTCGCGTCTTGACCTCAGTTGGCGTGCTCTGCCCTGTCCCTGCGCGGCGGAACCTCTAAACTCTGTCTGTTCGGGTATCTCCGTTTTGTGGGGTAACTGCCTCAACACCCAGGTAAATCCCGCCACAGAAGGTCCGCCGGCCGAGCAGATACCGGCCTAGGTACCACGGGACTAACTATCCGAGTACAGTACGCAGGCATGGCATTCTGTTGGTACAATTGGAGGTGGTTCGGTTCTTACCTTGCTGGCTGTGTGCAAGACTGGAATCTGTCTCGAAGGACAGATGTCGTGTTTTTTTTTCCTTTATATTAATACGGTCCGTAGACTGTAGTACCTTAGCACAAGCTTGGAGTTGAGGCTGAGGGGTTGCGTTGTTTCTCTGGGAGGACCCTGGGATTTGCGGGCAGGGGGCTTGAAGATGGAAAGGAGACAAAGAATCCAGAGGCCCGGCCTCATGCCCTGTTTATGTTTCCTTGGACAGTTGACCGTTGGAAGCCAGTTCAGAGATAAGTTCAGAGAGGAAAAAGAAAGCAATCGGCATGTGCATGCATGCTTCAACCCCCTTTCAAACCATAGTCGAGTCAATGCCAAGTCCGATATTCTTCAACTTCGAATCACGGCCTCGCCAGGAGCCAGGCCGTGGCCGGTGAAATCGACGGCTTGTTGGCCAAAGACAACTAGTGGGAACTAGTCCGGAGTCTGATTGAGCGAGTTTCCTTATGGCGCCTGTTAACGGTCTGCAACGTTGAGAAAGAGGCGTGCATCGGGTCCTGGGCACCAATGTGCAGAGCGGAACGGTCAACGGTGCATACGCCTCGCTGACCATCTTCTTGTTGTTCTCTTTCTTTCTTTTTCGGACAACGGCGTGCCCGCGCCGAGGACGAGAGGCCACGGCGAGGCTCAGAGGGTTGACGAAGATGGGGGTTCAAGCCTACCTACCAACTAAAACTCAACAACTGGGCAGACGCGATTGGCTGAGCAGACCCGTCCTTGCAGGTCAAACAATGGCCGCTACAACGCTGGCGGATGAACAAAATGCAGATTCCCAGGGGGCTCGGTCTTGGCCTGTGATGATTCGGGGGCCTCGAGGGGGTTGTTTCGGGGAGGGTGGAGGGAATAGGTAGTCCGGCAACTGGCACGGCTTGCACGCCAGACAAAGACTTTTGGGAGCTCATCGTCGCCGCTGTCCAGTGGTCTGCAAAGATTAGCGAGAGAAGAAGGTCAAGTGACATGGAGTTGGGAAGGATTCACAACGGTTTCCAGAATCAGGCCGGCCTCTGGTGGCCAATGACCTGCATCGTTACATGTGGTTGCAGTTCAAGGGGCCCCCCTGGGGCTGCCCACGACCCACGTTGCAAAACGGCCGGAGGATGTGTCTGCCAGCCTTTTGAGTTTGGACCGCCATGCCTTTGGGTACCGGTGTGTGCGGCGCCGCAGTGGGCTACACGTGTAGGAGAGTCGGAAGATGACCCGCCCGCTGCGCCGGTGGTTCCGTGCTCCCACATTCCGTGAAGCAGAGAGCGCGTAGTCGGCTTGTGGACAGCTTGTGGACCCACGGACCCGGCCGTCGGACCGTGACTCTGAGGTCTGACCCAACGGTGGCGGGAGGGGCCGAGCCTAGTGTGAGTGGCTCCGAGGTTTTGGGTGGTTGAGCCTGCTGAGGAGGAGGGAATGTCCCAACTGCCACCACCATTGGCGATTCATGAGCGATCATATGGTCGGTATTTTCGTCAGGAAGCATGGCCATGTCATCGAGGGGGCCGTGACAGCGTCGAGGTACAGTGCCGTGTAACTTTGTGCGATTGTGTCCATGTTTCTCCATGAAAGCCTTGGCTAGAAACTTTGGGTAGCGCGCCGGAGAAAGTCGATGTAGACGGGTGTTTCTTGACAGTCAGTGCAAGTATCCTGACATTCGGTTAGCTCAAGATTGGAAGAATAAGCGGAGAATTGACGGCACAAAGTAAGTATACGTACCTCGGTTGGTGGTCTTGGGAAAACGGGACTTATTGGTCTTGACGGATGGGAATTCCGACCCCAATCTCGCAGTCCAAGTCTAGAGATGGTAGCGGGATGGGTACTGTAGGTACTGTACTGTAGTGGCTCGTTGGTGGGGTTCAAGGGTCGCGGGGCACAATGTCAACTGGAGACCGTGATGTGGGTGTGCTACAGGACAACCTAGGTAGACGACCATGAAGTGCCAATGTCATCATCATCATCATCAAACGTTTCACCGAGATACATAGGTACGCTCATGGGAAAGGGTAAGAAACGTGGTGGATGAAACAAGCTACCGACCGTTGTGATAATTTCAAACGGTTTTTGGTTCCTGATCGACGCGAGAAGGGGAATACAAGGTTCGTAGCTAGAACTGAATTGCCTAAAACCAAGAACCGGTGGGGTACTGTACCCATTGTATGGTCTCCGTTTGTCATTTCGGTAATTTGGTCCCGACGGTAGGGGACTTTTGTGCTAGTAGTGAGTCGACGATGTCTTGGAATATTTGTTGTTCAGTTGACGGGAATGATGGAGAGGAAAAGAATTTTAGGCACTTCCAAGAAGGAGAGTGTATTGAAGGAAAGAGCAGTCACCGTACACTATCTCGCATCGCTAGTATGCACGGCATCCAATGTTAGGGCATGTTGGCATAGAATGCACCTGCCATTTCAAGTCTTTCAGCAGAATCTTCCATCAGGAGCATCCAACACAGAAGGCACGGAAATTGTTTGTCTGTTACCGGCTCAAGTGGAAAGTTGCCCGAGGGATGGATGCTCTTTCCCAGCTTTTGACTTTCGAAATTGTCAAAAGAACTACTGCGCACGGACCTCTTTGCATCCTTTCTCGGTTTCTCTTGAGCTCGGGCAATTGACTCTCTATTTCTCTTCAACTTTCTTCTTGCAGGAAATGGTTGGGCTCACAGACTGCGAATGTTTCAACCATCAAGCCCCTAATTCCCGCGGCGACAAAACATACAACATGAGTTTTACTTTTTATTTTCTTGCCGGGTATCAGCAAGGTTGACTGGGTCCTTGACATCGAGTCTATGCGAATAACTCAAAGATACAGGCTCAGAATTCGACGCTTTCTCATCGCCATCGCCATCGCCATGTCATAAGGTATGACTGAAAATGCGGCTTGGCCAGGCAGTCCGGATCGGTTTTCGTTAATCTCTTCAGTTCTGGGAGTGGGACGTCATTGCACTCATGTCTTCGCGCTTCGCCGTACAGCATCACGGATCTCGAAACAGTGGGTTGACACCATCCATGGATGTTTGTGATTGGAGGCCAGTTGGCGATGGCTTGGCTATAGTGGGGAAGGTCATTCGCTAGTGCAACATCATGTCTTGATTGTGCTGCGGCCGCTCTGGGGGCTGAGGGGTTGGCAAATCTTGAACCGCTTCAGTTCCTTTCAGGTCGGCCATCTTGGTGGTTATCACCGACAGTCTCTGGCCCTTCAACGAGGTCGAGGTACGAAAAAGCGACCATCAACACATATCTTAGGGCGCATTTCTCACAAAGACTATCAGCATCTCGCCCGTTGAGATCCTCCCCCCGTTGGGCTCCGACAAAACTTCGGCCCATTCATTCAAGAGACAAAAAAAAACACCCAAGTCTTCGCTTTGACAAGATGGACCCGGTCTCGGCCGCAGGGCTAGCCATCAGTGTCGCCTCGATAGGACTGCAGGTGTATACGGGATGTGTCCAAGGCATCCAGCTCCTCATTACCGCCCTGAACATGCCAGAGGACTGCAAGTATCTCAACCTGCGACTACGGATGGAACAACAGAGACTCTTTGCATGGAGTGAAACATCGGGCTTGGTGGATCTGGACGGAAAGAACCAGAAAAGGATCCTCGAGTCCAACACTTTCATCCTCCATCGCCAAACTGTCCTTGACCTGCTGGTCCAGGTCGAGTGTTTGTTCAAGGAGTTCAAAGAACACCAAAAGAAGAACAAGTGTCTCCAGGTTACTTCTGACCGCGACAATGTTCTCTTGAACCCCGAACGCGATGCCGCCGAGGCAAACTTTCCCTTGTCTGAGCGAAGGAGGAACTTCATCAAGAAAGCCATGGCAAGCCTCCGTGACACTTCGAAAGAGGTGACAACAAGGCTAAAGTGGGTAAGCTTCGACAAAGCCGCCTTTGAGCTGCTACTATCGCGCTTTTCTGCTCTGAATGACAACATGACCAACATACTCGACGCTCGCATGCAAGTTGAGATCCATCATACCGTCCAGGACACCAACAGAGGGGTCCTCCAGCTACATCACAAGATCGCTGATCTCTCAAGGCTCGTTATGGCACTAAACATCAAACTTGAAGCCAATGCTCCTACCACACCCATCTCGCAAATGTCGGCAGAGCAACGGCGAGCCAATGCTCAGGGGCTGCAGCTGCTTTCTCAGCTAGCCAAATTCAAAGCATTCAATGAGTCTATTGAGCCTGAAAAGAAGACCACCCCAACTCCCTTGGATGAAGCGACAGCCAAGTTCCTTGAACTGGGCAAGCCAAACAAACAAAAAGACCTTTTTCTCGACCGCTCCATGATACGGCTCGATCCCGATAACGAAGACTCGGATTTGCCAAGATGTGAAGCCACTCTTCAAGTCCCAGGCGGTCCCCGGAAGAAGGTCTGGATAGAGTGGAAGGATTATGATCGTCAAAGGCCAGATGATCTTTCACCTCCCAAGGAGGTCATTTTCGAACGGGTCAAGAAGCTGGCGGCGCTCCTTAACCACACGCCCAAGCCAGAGGAGTTCCGAACCCCCCACTGCCTCGGCTTCTTTGACAAAGCGGCTGGCATCAACGGTGCGGAAGATGACGACGATATTTGCAATATGCGACTGGGTCTGGTGTTTGAGAGGCCACAAGAAGACGACCTGCATACGTCTTTGCCACCAGTTTCCCTTCATGATCTGCTCCAGACGAGCCGTAAACCTCGCGTTACGGATCGAATCCGGCTTGCCCATGCCATCAGCAACTGTCTTTTCTACCTTCATGCGGTCAATTGGCTGCACAAGGGATTTCGAAGCCACAACATCATTTTCTTCCGTACCAGCAGCGGTCATGTCGACTATTCCAAACCATTCCTCTCTGGGTTTGACTTTTCGAGGCCCGCTCGTGCTGACGAGGAGACGGATATCCCAGATGATGCCGAACACAACCTATATCGACACCCTCTTGCCCAATCGACAGATCCAGAAGACCGCGAACGGTTCAAAAGAAGCTTCGACATCTACAGCTTGGGGGTTGTTCTTGTCGAAATAGCTCATTGGGCAACCATCGACCGTGTCCTCGGCATCAATATCAACGAGGCCAGAGTAAGGCCTTCCATTGCACTAAAGGTGCGTGATAATCTGCTTGCTGAAGATAGCATTGCCGAGCTGGGGGCCACCATGGGAGAGATATATGAGCATGCTGCCCGTAAGTGCATTGCTGGTGGCCAGGAACTGGGTCTGTCAGAAGGCGATGAAGAGACCAACGATGCAGTTGCAGCCCGACTCTCGATGGTGCTCCACGAGGATGTCGTCAAGCAACTAGGCGATATCCATGTGTAAAAAGAACAAAAGAAAATGGGCGGGAAGGTACACGCCACGCGAGTAAAAATAAATCAATGTTTACGCACGAACACTTTGGACAAAACACCAAAGCAAAGGACCTCGAAAAATGGGCGACAACTTATATAGTGGCCATCGGGACTTTTATACTCGCAGAAGGAGATCTCGATACCAAGCCACAAATGCCGATTGTCCAATAGGTACGGTGGCCCAAGTGTGTATTAGGCCCGTTATAAAACTGGTTCGAGCTTTCAGCTGCAGTCAGATGCAGGGCAAATTATTTACACTCCACGCACAGCCGTGCGCACACTCCTCCCCGCTAAACAATTCATATTCTTCTATACTATTATACTTTATTACTGAATAACCAAAGGCGATTCTTCCTCGTTATCGCCTCCTGGCCTACGAGCCCCGCTGGCTTTGAGAGCGCTGAGAACAATAGGAGCAATGGGAGCAACGGGAGTAATGGGAACTATGGGGAGACACTGGGAGAAGCGGGGTTATTTAAATAGTGAGACGGACGTTAACGCGCCCAGGCGCTTATCTATCACTTGCAGCTAACAACAGCCTTTTTACATTGAAATTTTGGATAACGGGCCTAAGACACACTTGGGCCACCGTAAATAGGCGACCCAGAAATACTTCGGCATTTGGGTTCCTAGCGTCCCCAGAAGTATGCTGGCGGCGTCAAGACTTGGAGGACTTTCAGCTGTTGGACGATGATGTTTCAATGCGCACTCCACAAACCCGAGAATTTGCAAGAATCAGACCTAGAAACATGGGGCGAAAGGAAACACGACCCGTACGCGCATACAGAAAGAGGTCTTTCACGTGGAATTTTACACTGCAGGGGGCTCAGACGGGAAAGCGAGAAATGCACCTTCGTCCTTCTTCCGCCAAGACATCGCCGGAGTTGGACTGTAACGTGAACCCATGCCGTTGGGTCGGGGTAGATTAACCGTTGGTTGCTTTCTCCCGCCACATCCTTTCATGCATAACAGGAAACCCCATGTAGGATTCGAGGATTCAACATCCACAAGTCCCGAGCTCTATCACCCATCCTTTACGGGTCCCAGACGGCGCACAGCATACATCGACAGACCATCAAGTTCAAGCGCTTCGGGTTTAACAGACATCAATACGCAACAAATCAGCAATAACCAAGCCAAGGGATGGCATCCCGGAAAAGGGTGACTGTTTAGGACAGTCGTTATGAGTGGGTCATGTAACATGCTCATGTACAACACGCGTGACGTTTGCTCTAACGAGATTTGGACGGGGATCCAGATGGTGGCCAAGACGGACTGGAGAAATGGTGCTATCATACTGCTACGCGTACCAGTACACCGGACAATGGGATAGATGAAGTCAAAAAGTCCCAAATGAAGGGTCATGGAACCCCGCTCTGGGTTAGGTGGTCCCCCCATCGAGGTAAGCACCAGTTGTCGGTCTTCTCTCATGGGGGGGACAAGGGTCATCTCCTGGTAACCGGCCAAGCTGATGCAACCCCGTCCCGTTCGTGTACCGCAAGCGAGCGCAGGAAGGAAAGACACGGCTTCTTCAGGTCCGTTATCCTGGGAATGGGTTGGTTGGGGTCCCCGTATGTTTTCCAACCGACTGGTTTTTTGTTTTTTTTTCAATCTCTTCTCGAGTTGAGGATGACCTTCTCTGCTTGTTCTACACATCCCGAGCCTACATCGTGCCTACATCATACATAAACGTCGTGTAGCAGTTGACAGATATCGCTACACGTACCGACACTCGATCATGGCTTTACTTGGTGCCATCCAAGCGAGTGACTCTGTCATCGAACTGATATTATTTTTGGTATGTTGTTTTGCCCTTATGCACTCTTTCGTATGTCGATCTTCGGGTCCTAGATCCATAAGCTCTTGTGCCCAAGAGCAACGGTCCAGATTTGGAACCATGACATCGGTGTATCATTGTCACACAGACGAGTGGCAGCTAGCTCTTTTCGTTGTGGAGGACTTGGGGGCATCATCTTGTCATCTCTCTAACCGAACTCTAGACTATTTCGACCTCCCTGGCCTTCGTGATACAACGGATATTTTTCCATCCGCTTTCCAAATTCCCGGGACCATGGGTCAACGCGATATCTCCCCTGCCCGAGGTGCTGGCGATTGTGGCAGGAAGACAACATGCCTATCATAGGAGGTTACACGAGAAATACGGTTCGTCCAATGTCTCATCTACCGCTGAAAATTCTTCCCGTCCAGCGATGACCGTTTCCGCCCCTCAATGCTCCTTCAACCCAAAGATGACTATCACTCCTGGAAGTTCTATCATTGATCATGACTACATATAGGCCCTGTGGTTCGTGTCTCTCCCATCGAGCTCATCTTCTGCGGCGCCGATGCCTGGGATGATATTTACGGTAACAAAGTGAGTGACTTCGAACCCACAAACAGCGAAACTACCGACATACTCACGTTATCCCAGCCCGGAAAGCCAGATTTCGAGAAATCCCCTCTTCAAGCCGGCGGTCTCCCCCAACACATTCCCGCCCGTGCCCTTACTCTCGCTCCATGGAACGACCACGTTCGCCAGCGCAAGGCGTGGGCCTATGGCTTTAGTAACACTGCCCTCCTCGGTCAAGAACCCTTGATCCAAACGCATATCGACAAGCTGATCGCCTCCTTGCATCGCCTAGCCGGCAAACCAGACGAGGTCAAGGCCGTCGACATGGCTGCATGGCTCACCTACACCACCTTCGACATCATCGGTGAGCTCTGCTTTGCGGAGCCTTTTGGCTGTCTCAACAGCGGCGAGGCGGGCGAGTGGTCAACCAGCATCGTCAACATCGCCAACGCGGGCATGTACGACCAAGCCATGCGCCGACTTACGGGAGTCGGGACGTGGCTGACAGCGTTCTTGGCCAAGAACTTGACGCCGAAAAAGTACACCGCGTGGAGACAGGCGCATTTCCTGAAGGCGAAAGAAAAGACGATGCGCAGGCTGGCGGATGAGGATCGTGAGCACAAGGATTTCATTTACTACGTGTTGAGAAACAACGAAGCAAAAGCGCTGTTGAGCGAGCTGGAGATTGTCATGAACACGGCTTTGTTTACGTGAGTTTTCCTTGCCCCTGAAAACTACCTACCATGACTTGGCAGACTGGTGGGGCGCTAACTTAAGGTATGAAACAAAATAGTGCGGCAGGAAGCGATACCACGGCTACCATGCTAGCTGCTTGGACGAATTTGATGCTGAGGAACCGAGACAAGTACAAGAAACTCGTCGACGAAGTGCGCGGTACTTTCAAATCTGCGAGTGACATCAGCTGGGCGACTGTCAAGGACCTACCGTATCTGAACGCCGTCAACCAAGAGGTCTTGAGAATCTGTGCGCCTGTGCCGACCAACCTCTGTCGTGTCGTACCTCCCGGTGGTGCGGTTATTGATGGCCATCCCGTTCCAGGCGGAGTAAGTCCTTCTTCCCCCTCTCCTCCCTTTCTTCCCCAATTTCTTCCCCATATATCGCCCCGGCCTAGAACTAACAACATGTCCCCCCAAAAGACAACAGTCTCCCTCTCCCCCTGGGCCGCCACTCACCTCCCACTCAACTTCTCTCGCCCACTCGACTTTCTTCCCGAGCGCTGGCTTTCCTATTCTTCCTCCCCTTCTTCTGCGTCCTCCAACTCCGTCAACGCCAAATCCGAATCCGAATTCTCCACAGACAAACCCCACGCCTCCCAACCCTTCAGCCACGGTCCCCGCGGCTGCATCGGCAAAAACCTAAGCAACATCGAGCAGCGACTGATCATGGCTCATCTGGTCTGGCACTTTGACTTAGAAGTTCCTGATGGGGAAACCGAACAAGAGGAGAACGAGAAGTGGGATCCAAGCGGTGATATGAAGGGGTTGAAGGCTTGGTTGGTTTGGCAGAAGCCTAGCTTGTGGGTGAAGTTGAGGGTTGTTGTTGATCGTCGCGAGACAGACAGGAATAGGAATTGTTGGAACGTGAGGGATCGGTTTGTGGCTGAGGCTGAGGGGGGTGGTTAATGGGGAGTATTAGGGTTAAAGGGGGGTTGGGGGTTTGGGTAAGTTGAGATGGGAGAAAGAGAGGGGATGGGTTGCAAAAAATGTTTTGGATTTTTTACGAGTTGTTTTTGGATGGTCAAGACATTCATCGATTTTCTCTTCTTCTGGTTTTCTTCCTTTTTTTTCCCTTTGCCTCTTACACTTATTCTCTTCTTCTTCTCATTCTTTATTCGGTTTCTCCTTATGGCTTTTTAACCTCATCGATCGGCCTGTTATCCAGCATTGTCTCTTCTTCCTCTAGGCCTCTCAAACGACGTCCTATATATATATATATCGACATGACTGCTACGACCAAAGCCGCGCGCCCATGATTCCGCTTTTCCTCTCTTACTTTCTTTTTGCCTTTGCCTCTCTTATCTTTCTACAGCATATTGCTTTTAGGTACCACCCCTTCTCACTACCTAAAAAGCATACTCTGTTTCGGTATGATAGTTAGACCCGAGTCATCAAGCAACCAACACTCCCCGCTCACCACCCCCTGATCACAATGTAGACTCCCAGCAGAGCAAAATTTATCTTTATAAGTACTAATATTTGCAATAAGTTGCAACAACAACTCAAACGGGCCGCTGGTCTAGTGGTATGATTCTCGCTTAGGGTTCAATCCTGAGCATTCTTGCGAGAGGTCCCGGGTTCAATCCCCGGGTGGCCCCATTCCCCGGGTGGCCCCATTCTTTTTTCACCCTTTATTTTATTTTATTTTATTAAATTCATGACTCATGCATGCATGTATGCACTTCGCGAAGGAGGCAGAACCACTTGACGGAGCATCACCAGTTCAAGTCACCATGTGCAAGTCGATTTGCTTGGTTTTTTGTTTGCTTGTTAAATCCCATCATCGATTATTCCCAGGCTTGCTATCAATATGCAGTCAGTATGCATCGGGCATCCCTACCTAGCTTCATGGGGTATCTATCTGAATGTCTGTATCTGGGCGTCATGCCATGTCTTCCTAATCACTTCCTTCTTGTTCAGTTGCTTTGGTTTCTTCCACCATGTCTACAACCTACCTACTGGTAGTAATCTTCCGCGCAGATAAAATATGCTTCTCTTCCCTTTCTTGCTACCTACACTAGGTATGCTCATCGCTCCTGCTCAATTCTCAATCAATCGCCAATACTCCAAATGGAAAAAAAAATGAAGCATATAAAAGAAGAAGGAAATTACGACCATGCGCCCAAACTCCAAATCTCGATCTCAACTACGACCTCGACCTCGACCTCGACCTAGATCCGATTCGATTTGACACCCTCATGAACTCATGAACTCCAAAACTTTCCTCACTTGCTCGCTCGCTCAATCGAAAAAAAGCAATGCAAATGCAAAATCCTTCCATGTCAATCAATTCCAGCGATCCGTCATTCATTCATTCCCTTCTTGGTTATGATACCGCCCATGGAAACGAACTCCGACGCTCAACGCTCAACAGTCTTAGGCGAAGCCCGCAAAGAAGGCCGAGAGACCAGGGAACAGGATGACTTGAAGGAAGACGCGCAACGAGGGAGCTTCGTTGATTGTCTCGGTGGGTTCAGATTCCTCATTGTCGCTGTGCTCGAGGCGATCATTGTCTATGGTGAAGAGATTGCCGCTGGTGTTATCGCCGTTGTCGTCATCGTCATCGTTGTCATTGTTGACGTGGGCGTTGCTGAGTTCCGAGTCGCTCTCGGAGTCGGTTTCTCCTCCGTTGTTGGTGGTGCTGTCCACGTTCGGAGCAACGATGATGTCCTTCTTGTCTTCGTTGCCTAACGATAGATCGATACTGTTAGTTCGGGGTGTTAATGAGAGTGAGCAAGAACGAGAATCCGCAAGGAGAGTATAAACAAGTTGACGAAAATAGCTTGCCGTACCCATTGCACTGCACTGCACTCCCTGCTCATTACGTTCCCTTCCCTTCCATTCTCTTTTTCTTTTATTCCCTTCTGCTACCATTCCTTCTCTTCCCTTATCTTGTCATGTTTTTCCTTCTGTACCCATCCTATCCCTTCATTCCACCACCTAAACCTCCCCATTTCACTTCACTTCACTCCAAATCACCTCACACAACCATAAACCTACGCACCTCCACTGCCACCACCGCCCGTATATCCGGTAGACCCCATGATCATGCGCTCGTCGATAAACGACAGCAAAAACTTGGAAAGAAGGCGACCGGTGAACAGGCGGAATACGGTAGTCTTGTTCTTGTTGGCGGGATCGGTGAAGGGGTCGACGTTCTCTTTGGGAGGACCGAGGGGGGCGAAGGTTAGGAAGTCGAGTTCGTGGCCTTGTTTCCGTAGGAAAAGAAGGAGTTGTTAGTTTGATGTTTTTTTTTTTTTTTTTT